AGCATTCCGTGTGGAAAAAAAAAAAAAAAAAAAAAAACTTTAAGAAAAGTAAGTGGGAGCAGCAGGTGCGAGATGGCTGCGTCACTTGCAAAGTGTGTGGGGACAGCGGCGTGGGCACACCTGTCACCCAGCAGGTCGCAGGGAGCGGTGCCACCACCACCTGCGGTGACCGCCTGAGTGCTCTGACGTGGCCGGAAAGGTGAGACCCGCCCAGGCCGACCGCGGGCAGGGTGTGCACCAGGTCCACGTGGGGGGAAGGCGTGTGGAGACCAGCCGTGGTCAGGTGACCCTGAGCACGGCAGTCCAGGTCGCGGGGGCGCCGGACTGAACGGGCAGCGGCCCTCGGAAGCAGCAGGCACTGCCCTGGGGGAGCTGGAGACCTACGAGCTCAGTGACACGCAACCACACCATTATGACACGGACGACGACACACAAAGCGGCACGGAATACCATGCATGACACAACACACAGCTCGACAGACGGCACATACGTAGAGTTCCTCGAACTGCTTCTGAATCTCGTTGTCCATCTCGCTGGCGTGGAAGCTGGGGTCCCTGATGGGAAACGCGTCCACGAACAGCAGGGCAGCATTGGCCCGTACCTCGGAGCTCCTGGCCTGCGACGACAGAAGAGCGTTTCGAAACCCGAGAGGGTGTGCAGAGGTCAAAGCAGACGCTCCCGAACCAGCACCTCAACGGCTCAGTGCAACCCTCACACGAGCTCGATGACGGGACACATAACCCAACGGACGCTGTGAGGCCTTCCTCAAGCTGAGCTGGTCGAGACCAAGAGCCTCGCTCCCTCACCGGACGCCTGCCTCGGGCAGGGGAAGGTCATAGGAACGGCCTTGCCGAGGACCGTGAGCAGGACGGGGCGCCGCCTGCCCGTGGCCGGGCACCAGCACGAGCCCACCTGGCCAGGACGCTGACGGTGTGGGCTGCTCTGTCGATACACCCAGCGCCCCACGGCGTGGCAGCTGCAGGATGTGGCCAGCATGGACTGACTCGGTCCCCGGGTGAATGCACCCAGGAAACGCTTGTGATAGAGCGCTGGTCCCGGAACCCCGCGAAGCAGCGCCCGGTCTTACCATCCCCACCTCACACTGCCGGGCCCAAGCCCAGGACACCCAGGGAGGGAGCCCACAGGTGTGGGCGAGCCACGCACCTTCAGTCCTCGCCACAGGAGGGGCCTGTACAGCCGGTAGAGCATCTCATCCACGCCCTGCCGCACCTTCTTCTGGTGGTGGAAGTAGCTCAGCATCTGCGGCCAGAGAGGCAGAGAGCGTGTGGGTGTGGGAGGCGTGTACAAGTCCAACGCCCAAGGGGCTACCTCGATGGCTGCAGCAGTGCAAGCAGCCACTGGAGAGAGTCCACAGCCGGTCCGGGCCAGAGCCCACTGTCCACGCACAGGCCACAGGCGGGAAGGGCCTTGAGACCTCTGCCCTCTAGGGAAAGTGGGAAAGCCCTGACTACTGATGGTCTTCAGACTGAGGCTGACAGCGACCTTCCACAGGACAGCTGGATTTCTTTTTCTTTTTGGAGGTATTATAAAGCTGTGAGTTTCAATCTCTCAGTATTTCTTTGAATTTGCTGTTTGTTCTGTGCTAAGACTTTCAGCCTTTTCAGGGCAAGGTCTAATCATTTCTACACACTGTCATTTACACTTACATTCTTCGTGCCTGATTAGCCATTTTATGTGGTGCTTTCTTTTGCATTTGGCTAGTAGTATCAAAATGCTTTAATACTTCATATAAAACAAAATATCCTGAGGATTCTCTGGGTAATGTTAATATCTGAAGCCAGTGGGGGGAAAATGGTTAACAACCATCACAATATTCACGTTAAGAAATTCCAACAATTACACATCGAGGTTTTGTGTTTCTGCCTCATTTACTCAATTCTTGGGAAATAGCTGTTACTCAAGGAGACTGCTTTTGTTCATTCCTTCCTAATAAATCTATTCTTTTTTATTTTTGAGAGGTTTTCACTATAGGGCGCATGCGCTCACCAGACAGAGAGATAGAAAGTGAGAAATCACCCCCCGGGGGGATGGTCACGCCACAATCCCTTCTCCTCCATTCTCCTCTTGGGATCTCGGGCACGCACGCACACACACGCACCCGGCGTGAGTTCTAAGCCACCGGATCCGGGACGCGAACTGCGGTCGACTACGTGGGAATCCAGCGACATAGCCATTACGCTAACTGCTGGTTCCCAGGACAGCCGAATTTAGAAGTCACACTCCCTGTGTGGGATCGCCACTGTCACGCTCCCACCCCACCCTCTCCACTCCTTTCCAACAGAATCACCGTCAAGTCTGCGGCCACTCGTGCTCCACAAAACCAGCTGCACTGCGCCTCCTCCACTCAGTCAGCTTACACGGAGAGTGAGGAAACTGCACAGGCTAAGAAACAATGCCTGCGTGCACGTGCGCACTTATCAATCCCCTACCAGACTCAGGGCAGTTCTGGCTAATTCTTCTACATTTATTACTTCCATGACAGCAAGAGCGAGAGACACCTCACACCGTGAGCTGCCCTAGAGTCACACACGCGTGAGCCCAGCTGCTCTGGGCAGTCTTGGGACACAAACCCAGGACATCCTCAAGCAGTCAGGCCTGGCACAGGGCCACTGCACGGCCACACCACCTTCTGGTCTGGGTTGTTGATGTTTTAGGGGTTGTATTCATGCCACAAGTGACCTTAGTCTGCAATCTGTTTTTTGGGTACAATATTACCAAACTTTGGTATAAATGGGTGACTTACAACACAGAAAAGCTTTTATTTATTTGCTTTGTTAGGTTTTAGCCATAGGGCACATGTGCTGACCAGAGAGACACAGAGACAGAGAGAGGGAAAGGGAAAAATCATCCCCTGGGGAGACGGCCACACCACAATCCCGTCTCCTCCATTCTCCTCTTGGGATTGTGGGCACACATGAATACACACATGCCTGGTATGATTTTCAAGCCACCCAGTTCTGGACTTGAACTACAGTCTGCCAGGTGGGATTCCTGAAATTCCTTTCAGTGCATCAGCAAAACAATTTACGAAATAAATTGGACACTAATTAACGCAGCTTGAGGAGAAAGCTGGAATGCGCTCTAGGCAGACGAGAACGAGCACTCGGAGCCCTGTGGCACATCGCACTACTCAACGTGGGCTGGCCTTCCTGCTCAGCGCTGAGGGAGGCCAGCTCCACACGGCCCACCGTGCTTCAAACCCAGCCCTGGAGGCTCGAGAAACACGGGCTGCACGTGCACACACGCTCGACATCCCGACAGGAAGAACCAGGAAGACGGGAGAGGTGCTGCTCGACCACAGCCCCCGGAAGCTGCTTTCTCTTGTCTCTCAGGCCGCCGCACACGCCCGCTGGGAATTCCACGTGCGCACATGCATCTCTGGCAGTTAAACACACAAGCACATATACATGTATCTGGCAATTCCACGTACGTGCATGTATGTGAGCACACACACACCGTTCTTCCAGCTCAAGGGCAGCACTCTCCCCTCGGCCGGCGGGTCATGGCACCTACACACAGCACCTGCCTTTCTGAGATGAGACCCAGCCTCCCCTCACCCCCCCCC